TATTCAAAAAAAATAGCAGTGTTTGTTTTCTTCTTTACAAACTCAAACATTCACTATATAAACTGAAAAATGTTTGAAAATTTTGCTGTCCTTTGAATCACTTAATTAATATTTAGTTGTATAAGCACTGTTTCTGATAACTGCTGTACATCTGTGTTGCATGGAGTCAACCAATTTCTGGCACCTGTGAACAGGTATTCCAGCCCAGGATGATTGGACTACATTCCACAGTTCTTCTCTATTTCTTGGTTTTGCCTCAGAAACTGCATTTTTGATGTCACCCCACAAGTTTTCTATTGGATTAAGATCCGGGGATTGCGCTGGCCACTCCATAACGTCAATCTTGTTGGTCTGGAACCAAGATGTTGCATGTTTACTATGTTTACCGGTGTGTTTGGGGAAATGCCCATTTCAAGGGCATTTCCTCTTCAGCATAAGGCAGCATGACCTCTTCAAGTATTCTGATGTATTCAAGCTGATCCATGATCCCTGGTATGCGATAAATAGGCCCAACACCATAGTATGAGAAACATCCCCATATCATGATGCTTGCGCAACCATGCTTCACTGTCTTCACAGTGTACTGTGGCTTGAATTCAGTGTTTGGGGGTCGATTGACAAACTGTCTCCGGCCACTAGACCCAAAAAGAACAATCTTACTTTCATCAGTCCACAAAATGTTGCGCCATTTCTCTTTAGGCCAGTCGACGTGCTCTTTGGCAAATTGTAACATCTTCAGCACGTCTTTTTTTCAACAGTGGGACTTTTCAGGGGCTTCTTGCAGATAGCTTGGCTTCACATAAGAGTCTTCTAATTGTAACAGTACTCACAGGAAACTTTAGACCTTCTTTGATCTTCCTGGAGCTGATTGTTGGCTGAGTCCTTGCCATTTTGGCTATTCTTCTATCCATTCGAATGGTAGTTTTTCGCTTTCTTCCATGTCTTTTTCAGGTTTTGGTTGCCATTTTAAAGCATTTGCGATCATTTTAGCTGAGCAGACTATCATTTCTGCACTTCTTTATATGTTTTCCCCTCTCCAATCAACTTTTTAATCAAGGTACGCTGTTCTGAACAATGTCTGGAACAACCCATTTTCCTCAGAATTTCAGAGAGAAATGCACTGTAACCAGCATGTACAACATTTGCTGCCTTCCTTCCTTCCTTCCTTAAATAAGGGCAATAATTGCCACCTGTTTTTTCAAAGAATGAATGACCTCACTAATAGAACTCTACACTGCTATTATTTTGAACATGCCCCTTTCAATTAGTGATTAAATTACACAGAATCAGCAGCATGCATGTCATGACTGTTGGGTCTGTTGGATTTCTATTACTCTACTACACCTGCTAGTAAATTATTTGCCATGTAGATATTTAATTTCTACCAAAAACAGTGATTGATCAGGTTAGTGATGTCTGAGTGATGTCTGACTGCTATTATTTTGAACACAACTGTATGTGACATTGTATTTGCATGTTGAACACATTGATGCTCCTAACGGTATCACCCTAGCAACACATAAAGCAGCTCCATCTGTAGTGGAATGTGGAATACCTACATAACCCTACCACTGCAGAAAGGAAGTAAAAGCATTTTAAAATTACTATTTTTTTACTACAATATTAGTATTTTATTTACACATGTTGCTATTTGCTGATTTGAATCTCTGAAGCAAGACATTTTATCCCAATGCATAAGGAAATAAATGTTACAGACGCAATTGTGACCCAGACCCTGTTCCAGGGGGCCCATGGGGCCTCCCTGTCACATTAAATTTGATGTCACTCTGTGTGGGCAACGGGGTTACTTGAGGGGTTGGTATGTGAGGAATAATATGGGACAGACCACTCCCCTCCACACAGGTGCCAGGTGGGACGAGGCTGTTGAGTGGAGGAGGCAGGCCATCTTCTGAGGGGAATGATAGGAAGGAGTGCAAACCTTTCTCCGTTCTCTTGCACAGAATGTCTCATCCCTGCTGCCTCCTAGCTCGGTGTCCTCCATGTCCCTGCCCCCCTGTGAGCTGGTCCCATCTGCTCCTCCCTTGTCTCCTCCCCAGTCTCCCTCCCCTTACCCTTACTGATCTCTCCGCTGATCACCTCCCTCTTCTCCTATTGCCCCCCCCGCACCTGTCCTCAGTCATGGCGAGGCCCAGCGCTGGGGGCATATGCTCTCTAGCTGGAGCCATCCAGGAGCAAGAGATACTACAAGCAAGTAAGTTCGTCAAGAGATCAGAGCAGAGCATAGGGGGAGGAGGGGAGGGGTGTGTGGGGGGGGACTGAGAACATTCTACAGTCCAGGACACTGACAGGGCTGGGGGATTCTATATGTTGAGGGGGATTGAGACTTCCCTGGACTTCCCCTGTACTGGAAACATCCCATGTGTGGGGAAGTGAAAGGAGCCAGTATGGGGGAGGGGTGAGTTCTGGACATGCTGGGACTTGTAGTGTGCAGGCAGCAGGGAGACCCCGGTGTGACACAAAGGGACCCCAACACTGGCATAGGGTCAAGGGTCACAGGGGTCACAATGGCAATCACGCAGATGCTCCATGGGGTCCATGGGGCCTCCCTGTCACATTAGGTTGTACAGCTTGACAGGAGGGGTGGCATATACAGGAACCAACTCCCTCCATTTTCCTCCTGCAGCTGCTGAAAGCCATCTTCTCCTCCTCTCCCTCTCCGTCTCCCTCTTGGTACTGATCACTCACTGTGTTCATTCATACCTGAAACATAGTAAACTGTGTTTACTATACTTCAGTTTGTGGGTGTGAACAGGGAGACAGCGCAGAGCTCTTCCTGATCATTCATTCTGTGCAGCTGAGGCTGCAGAGGTGGAGATTGTACTGTGTCTTCAATCACTTTCTCTATCTCAAAAGTGAGACCTCAGGGGTCTGTTTATACCCCTAATATTCCACCAGAGGCCCCCAACAGGGCTGCTGAAAAAAATAATACAAAATAAAATTTTAAAAAGGTAAAAAACACACAGCAACAAAAACTACTGACACTGCCCATTGCCCTACTGACATCATCCACTGCCCTACTGACTGACATCATTCACTGCCCTACTGACATCATCCACTGCCCTACTGACACTGTCTACTGCTTTACTAACTGACACCAACCACTGTCCTACTGACACCATCCATTGCTCTACTAACATCATCCACTAACTCTACTGACTGACACTGTTCACTTTTAAGGTAGGCCTATATTATATTATAATTTTCAGTGACATTTGTTTATATATTTGTATTATATTTCTCTAAGTTTTCCTTACTATTTGGTTACGCCTTGCTGGGTAATTTCTTTCAAAAAAAAGGCGCTGAACTCTGATTGATCTGATCTGGTGATTTTTTGATCTCTTTCATGTTGTTCAGGTAGATCTCTACTTTTCAAAGGTTGCCTACCTCTGCTCCAAGGTATTCAATAGATTTTGGAGAAACTGTCCACATTTTGACATAACTCTCCAATTCTTTTGAATTACCCTCTCAATATGTAAATAAAGATCTAAAATAACTCTTTAGCCACTAGGAGTATCATGGTGGAAGTAGCGCGTGGTAGAAGGGGGCACCAGTCCAACTTTTGCATTGGGCCCACAAGCTTCAAGTTATGCCTCTGGTTACAGATTTAAAAGATCCATACTATATTTTCTAAAAGAACCTATAGCCATTAAAAAGTCTCTGTTTTTGTCTAAGGATTCTCCCCCAGATGTCTTCTAAAACTTCATTTTTCTTTTCAATATTTTTATTTGAAAAAGGTTATACAATACCATACAATATGGTCATCATGCACACTTAAGGCATGATTTACAGCATACATGAAGATATCATATCAACCATTTAAAAAAAACCCAAAGCTTTATTTTTATAGAAAACTACACTAAAATCCCTTTAAGCGCATAGAAATGACAATCTCCAAACTGCATTTTCAGGTGCACAAATGGCACAGGTGCAGCATACAGATCTGTTGTCAGCAGCCTGTTAAAAGCTATGACAGGCTGAAATATGTTGCAGCTCAATGCTGTACTGGGTGGTGCTTACATTTAGGGCCACATGCATTCAGAGACATATTCCAACCCTAAACAAGAGCAGAGTCCTAAACACACACATGAGCCAAAGGGTTGGTGTGTACATAGCCTAAGGAGATAAAAATATAAACATTTGCATCTGATAAGAAAATCCTGTTAAACTATATGCATTTACCATTAAAGTGGTTGTAAACCCTTACATATACCCAGGGTACACAAAGAGATGAAACAAATCCTCCTACATAATGTGTACCTGTCTATCTGCAATATTCTCTTCTCTACATCCATCCAAAGTGCAGTATTTATACAGCTTGCCTGAGCTTTCAGAAAAAGGGCTGAAATTACACTCTGCAGAGCTCAGAGAGGAAAGCCGAGAGATGATTAGAAGGAAGGGACACACCCTCCTTCACACAGCACACAGGAACAGAGCTGAGGCTGTCAATCCCAGGCTGTGTGCTCTAGTTCCCTCCCCTGTCACCTTCTTTCTCTTGATGTCAGGTAAAGTTGCCAGAAGTGAACCATGCAGATAGCAGAGGAATGGGGCAGCAGACAGAGATGACACTTGGTGCGCTTAATTGAGACAAGTACACACTACAGAGGGATATGCTTTGTTCATATTTCATGTCTGAGGTTTACAACCACTTTAAGGTAAAATGATGCCCCTAAAGTTATTATTAAAGTGGAACTAAACCCCCTCCAATTTAAACGTTTCCCAGTAAGTCATGTCCTTGAATGATAACTGTCACAGGTGCTTGTGCTCCTGACTGAATTGTCAAGCTATCAGTTGGCTGCTCTATATTAACCACCTTCCGCCCGCCATATAGTACAATGACGGGCGCAAGGTGGTTCTCTCGTTCTGATAGGACGTCATATAACGTCCTTCCATTCTCACCGCGCATGCACGGCTCAGGGAGCGCGCGCAGCGTGGCAATTGCCGATACGCTGTGTCCCTCGGACACAGCGGATCACGGAAAGAGCCGAAGATGTCGGCTCGGTCATGTGATCAGCTGTGTCCAATCACAGCTGATCACATGTAAACAGGGAAATACCGTTTATCGGCATTTCTCTCCTCTCGAGCTGTCATGCTGACAGCTCGAGAGGAGAAGAGAGCCGGTAATTGGCTTTCTGTGGAGGGGACATGTACACTGGTCATCAGGGCACTGATGATCAGTGTGCCCTGATGAACAGAGTGGCCCCAGAAGTGCCACCTGTCAGTGTCCATCAGTGCCAGCAGTCAGTGCTCATCAGTGCCATGTGCCAGTGCCACATCAATGCCACATATCAGTGCATACCAGTGCACATCAATGCCACATATCAGTGCCCATCTGAGCTGCCTTTCAATGTCACCCATCAGTGCCACCTATCAATGCCAATTAGTGCCACCTATCAGTGCTGCCAATCAGTGCCACCTATCAGTGCCAGTCAGTGTCATCTATCAGTGCCGCCTATCAGTGCCAGTCAGTGCCAGTCAGTGCCGCCTAACAGTGCCAGTCAGTGCTGCCTAACAGTACCAGTCAGTGCTGCCTATCAGTGCCAGTCAGTGCTGCCTATCAGTGCCGCCTATCAGTGCCGCCTATCAGTGTCATGTATCAGTGCTGCCTTTCAGTGCCCATCAGTGATGCCTGTCAATGCCCATCAGTGCAACCTACCAGTGCCTGCTCATCAGTGCCCATCAGTGCCACCTATCAGTGTCCATCAGTGCAGCCTATCAGTGCCCATCACTACAGCCAGCTCATTAGCGCACATCAGTGAAGGAGAAAAATCACTAATTTACAAAATTGTATAACAAAAACTAAGAAAAAACTTTTTTTTTTCAAAGTTTTCTGTGGTTTTTGGTTTGTTTAAGAAAAAATAAAAATCCCAGAGGTGATTAAATACCACCAAACGAAAGCTCTCTCTGTCTCAAAAAAATGATAAAAATTTCATATGGGTACAGTGTTGCATGAATGCGCAATTGTCATTCAAAGTGTGTCAGCGCTGAAAGCTGGAAATTGGCCTGGGCAGAAAGGGGGTATAAGTGCCCTGTAGGCAAGTGGTTAACTAACCTGTGCGCCAAGAAAAAACACAGCTGGTACCTTAAACAGAGTATAAACACAAATAAAAACACTAATGAAAAGGGATGCTGCTGTACAGTATGTGTTGGAAAATAAACCTAAAGCACATAAAAGAAAATAAATTGATACAGTACTGTAAAACATCAATTATGAGTGGCAGACAACATTTTACATATTGTGTGCTCAACTTGTGAATAAAACATTCATATTGTGATACTCAGTCCAAAAATGTGCGTATAAAGTCACTTAAAGAAGTGTGCTCCAATCATAAGGTTCATGGAGGGATCGATCCACCAAGGGTCTTCTCTTCCACTTCAAAGGAAATGGTGAAACACTAAAAACTCACCAGAAAATCTGCGACCCCTTTATTTTAAAGTGGTCAATAACTGCTTAAAGTGTTACTAAACCCAGGACCCTGCATTCTCTCTATGTGGTCTCCCATAGTACACAGAGCATGGAAGTGCAATTATTTTAGTAAATATATGCTGCTAAATACTTTTTTCATCAGCAGTTAGAGCAGTCTTGTTGCTTCAGCTGAGCACAGATTAAAGCTTGTTGGAGTTTTCTTTCAGCTCTAGGAGGATGCAAAACCCTGACCTCTGTCTAGACAGTGCTGATTGGCTCTGTGCTGATCACATGCACTGTCCCAAGGGAAAAAAAAAACCTCTCTAGCAATACACACTAAACTGAGCATGTGCAGAAGGGCTCTCGGGTTTAGTCTGTCTTATCAGCGCGGACATTTGAACAAGAGGAGGGGCAGAGAAGTCAGGATCAAACAGCCTTTTTACACAATGCAGAGGATTAACCCCTTAGGTTCCACAATGCGTATAACAAGCATGCTTTACTGCATATACAGACCGATACTGTTGTGGGTTTAGTAACACTTTAACTTGAGCTCCACTTAATGGGTTTTGATGGATCAGAACCAGCTCAGCCTCTAGGTGTTTCCACCACAGTGCAGTATTTATTAAAACTATCAATAAAGCAGTAAATCAGACAAACAAAATGTGCATTTACATTTATAAGTGTCATAATATCAGCACCAACAATTGGTAACTGTATGTTTCTTTCTCCTTTCTTGTAAAAAAAGATACGCTTTTTATTTGTTTTCTTCTATGATGTTTACCTTCTTTTTTCAGGATTCTTGCTTTCTTTGTTTTTTCACTACTCTGATAATCTTTAGCAAATCACTATTATTAACATTAATATTCCCACATCATGGCGCTACCTCATTTGTCTGCTCTGTTACTTTCACGCAAGAGATGCTCTAAACATTTATTTTGAGCAGCACTTGGTGGGAGGCTTCTGTATATAGATTAAAATCCTGCTTTATTTGACACTTTTGTTTCACAGGTGGGACTTTGGGTTTTCATATTCCATATTTATACCCCCCCTGTGTCACTCTGTGGTTATCCTGGTGGGGTGTACCATACCCCTTCCACAACTCTCAGGCCAGACACTAAGTGGTGGTCTCCATTTGGAGATGTCACAATAATGATCTTATTATTAAGCTGGTTTGTAAGTATTTACTTTCATCATTGACACTAGTTGAACAATATTATATATCTCTTCCTTTATTTGGAACCTTGTTTCTTGTTTACAGATTTTATACGGGTGGCATCTACTCCTGAAAAAGTGAAGATTCACAAAACGTGTCAAGTTTTTATGTCGCCCTCCTTTTTTTGATAATTTGACTATCTGGCAATATGTATATGGATTCATTCTATCAATGTAATGTGTACCCTAGGCTTGTTGTTTAATCTGTGAGATCTTAATGTAACACTCAATAAATTGATCGTTTTTATACATAATCTACTCAATGTTATGCGTCATTTAAAATCCCATGGGCATTTGATTTGGTTTATGAGAGAGAGAGGGAGAGTTCACTGAGCAGAATTTATGCATACATCTGGATTACATTAAAGTGATACTAAACACACACTGTTTAATATACATTGTCCCTTTTCTTTCTGTATGTGGATGCCAGCAGTGTAATTATATTAATACAAAAAAAAAAAAAAATCATCTAACTACCTTTTTCCTAATCAATATACAGAAGTGACATGACCCAGCTCTTTCCCAGTCTGTCTGTAGGGAAACATAAGCAAGAGGAGCTTCTAGTCTTCTGCTGCTGGTCACATGTTCAAAATAAAAAAACAACCTTTCGGCATACAGAGTAAAAAAAAAAATATCAATAAGCTGTATAACATTGTCATATGTATATAAATTTGAAATAAAATCTTTATTATTTTTTGGCAATAACATTGTGTGGGCGGGTGTGATTGAAACAATTGATCACTCATGATTCTTGGCATTGTACATCGATGTATAATCAGTATGGATGTTTGTGGGCTGATTGAAGCAACAGGCAATTGTACTGCATGTCAAAAAGCAGGCGCTTGAGTTCTGCCAAGGTGTGGATACTCATGTGGTTTTAACTTATCTTTTTTAAAAAAATAAATAATTCCATTAAGCATAACATTTCACATTTTGGAAAAATCCCTCAGTAATTAGCAAAGCATCCAAAGTAATACATACACAGTAATTGTGCTTTGGTTAAATACTGACATCTGCTGTTAAAATTAAAGTATGCCACAATACAGTGACAACAAATAAAGATTGTAATGATTACATTATAAATTATTTTACAAGACTAAACGGGCTGTGTTATTGTAACACTCCAAACTAATTATTTCGACAACAGTCTTCCCCAAAAATTGTTTGTACATTTAACATATTTTAGGCATGTTATTTACCTTACTTCCTTCTGTAGACATCCAAAAGACTGGAGACTGCTGCAGGTCGCCACAATCTTGTACATGATCTCAGCAGTCCAAGAAGAGTCAGATGCAACTTTATTCCAATAAAAGTCAGGGGGGAAATCCAAGAGTGCCCCCTTCATCAAGGCAAGGAGAGCAACCAATCTGATAGGAGGCATGGAGGAGCTCAGCTATGAGGAAAGATTAGCAGAAATTAATTTATTCTCTCTTGAGAAGAGATGACTGAGTGGGGATATTATTATATAAATACATAAGTGGCCAATATAGTGAACCTGGTATCATCACAAAGGAAAAGGGGACATTCTTTGCATCTGGAGAAAGAGATTTAACGTTCACATATGGAAAGACGTCTTCACAATAAGAGCTGTGAAAACGTGGCATAGACTCGCTCAAGACCTAGTTCTGGCCAGCTCAGTAGATTGTTTATAAAAAATGCCTGGATTCTTTCCAAAATGCACAAATTATAACAAAATACTTTTATTTATAGGTAATAACACCAGAGGTAGTTGATCCAGGAATACGAAATTGCCTCCGGAAGGAATTTCTTTCACCCCACTTGAGAAAATTGGATCATGTTTTATTGGGAGGGTTTTTTTTGTCTTTCTCTGGATAAACTGTTCATATAGGATTGTGTATATGGAGGTTTTCTATTTGTGAGTGTGTGCTTTTCTATTGGTTGAATTAGATAGACTTGTGTCTTTCTTTAATTGACTAACTATGCAACTATGTATTATTATTATTATTATTATTATTATTATTATTAATCAGCATGATAATAATAATAATGATAAAAGTAATAATATATTCTGGTTAATACAGGGCCGTAATCAGTATAAAAAATATAAAAAAATGGGAAAAATATGCAAAAAAACTGATATGCGCCATACATTTTACAATCTGATTGTACAAATTACCAACAGTCACCCGAGCCTTACCAATCTTATTCATTATGTGGATAAACCAAAATAACCATCCATGTGTCTATAATCAAAAAAATGTATAAATATAGCAGTTAATGTGGACAGTATATGTTGCAAAGGTGGCTATGACTGCATTAAAACTGCAGATTATCTTAATTGACAATAATGTCAATAGACTATAAGTGAACAGGACCTTTAATGTTATCTTAACCATTTGCCCTCCTGAGGATTTACCCCCCTTCCTGTCCAGGCCTTTTTTTGCTATTCGGCACTGCACTATTCAACTGGTAATTGTGCGGTCATGCAATGCTGTACCCAAACAAAATGTATGTCCTTTTTTTTTACACAAATAGAGATTTCTTTCTGTGGTATTTGATAACCTGTGTGCTTTTTATTTTTCACACTATAAAAAAAAAGGCCAAAAATTTAGAAGAACGATATTTTTTACTTTCGGCTATAAAAAATATATAGTAAACTCAAAATTAGTCATAAATTTAAGCAAAAATGTATTCTGCTACATGTTTTTGGTAAAAAAAAAAACCAAAAACAATAAGTGATACCCTAGTGAATAAAATGGTGGGTGCTGCAATTTTTTATGTCACATAGTACTCGCGCAGCAATTTTTCAAACTCAAATTGTTTTTAAAAAATACACTTTTTTTACTTTTAATGCACAAAAAAAACACAATAAATTGGCCAATTATTTGGTAAAATATAACAGATTATGGTATGCCGAGTAAATAGATACCAAACATGACATACTGAAAAACTGTGCATGCCCCATGCAATGGCGACAACCTGCATACATTTTTAATATCCATAGGCAACGCTTGAAAAGCCTTTACAAGCTACCATTTTAAATTTACAGAGGAGGTCTATTGCTAGAATTACTGCCCTTGATCTGGTGATACCTCAC